GAAAGAATGAAGAATGAGCTCCCATCTATTTCACATGGGCAGGATTGTACTTGGACCTTTGCTGCATCTTGAAGTATAACCATGGCAGAGTTTCCAAATTAATAGACTACAAAATTAACATATCTCATTTTAATGATGTCTAGGAGTGACGGTCTTTATTTTTTTATTTTATTTTTTTTTCTGGAACATGTTATGCTGTATAACCTGTGTTTCTATGTCAGTTTGAAATACATATAGTCTAAGGAGAATTACTGATGATCATGTAATTGTTATGAAGGTGGCAGCATGTACCTAGCCCTTTTTCCCTTGATGTATTTTTATGTATTAAGGATTTTGTCTGGACCTGGTTCTGATGCAAACCAAAGAATATTTAGCTTTTGTCTAGGTTAATATGATGTCGTAGGTTTGTGCTGAGCACTGAAGATGGTTTTAAGGAACATGCTCTGAAGTTAAGCATCAGCTGAGGTGCACTACAGAATGACTTATTTTTGATTAGAACATCAGAGAATTTATCAAAAAAAAGTTAATATAGTTTTAAAAGCGTATGGGGAATGAGAGCTGTAGCTGATTATAAACTAGTTAGCATGACCTTGTTTGCAGGCAGGGTAGCAGAATGGTTAATGTAAGAAACAAAACATTGGAAACATAATTTCGGCAGAATTTTTGTCAGTTATACAGCTTTGTGACGTTGCCTCAAGGAACTAGGCTTTTTGGCCTGTTTCTACAGGGTTTCTTTTTAATTCTTTATATTATTTTAATCTTTTTGATCTCTAGCTACATAGCTCAGTCATTTTCAAAATTACTGTCCTACAAGTAATAGCCATGTTATTGAAGGACATAAAAGGGCTGTATGCAGTCTTTCCCACTTAATGTCATGTGCGTTTATTAAAAGGGCAGCAAACACTTAAAAAGCCTTTATATAACTATATATAGTTATATTATTTATAGTTATAATATAAACCCTATATTATAAGCCATTCTTTCCAAACACAAATTTGGAGAGGGTGCAGCAGAAAGCCCAAATGTTTGAGGACTGACAAAAATGTTTTATGGTGAAAGATTTGCCCTGTATCTCCTACAGGAACTTCTGCCGACAGTAAATGCTCCATTAGTCAAAAGTGTAAATAGGAGTGACTCATGTTTATGGCCGTGTGGCTAACACAAGTCCCCAGAGCAAACCTAGTCATAACAACAGAAGTGTACTCATACCTGTGTAACTGGTTTTGTGCAAGAGATGAACTAATTTTACTGTATCAGAATAAAATGCTACTTTGCTATTACAGCTTTGGCCACTCTAGAAGTGCTCTGATGATGCCGTGTATCGGTGCGCCCAGTGTAAAAATCATCTTAAAGAGCCTAATATTACCTTGAAAAGATTGCTGTTGTGACACACTTACTAAGCACAGATACAGGAGCAAATAAAGTGTACAGAAGAAGCCTTTT